GGCGCCAAACTGCGACGTCGTCGGCGTCAACATCTACCCGTACTTCAACCCGTCCGTGCCGAGCGACTCGATCGCGGACCTCACGAAGCGCTTCAACGCGATCGTGGGCCAAGTACGGTGGGAAGACGCGCCTTACGGAGACTGGCCACCCGTCCGACGGTGGTGGCCGTGCCAACTTTGGTGCTGCGCAAAACTACTGGAATCAGTACCAGACGTGGGCCAACTCGAACGGCGGGCCGTCGCCATTCTACTTTCAGTTCCACGATGCGACCAACAAGGCTGGCGACGAAGGCCACTTTGGTATCTCTGCCGACGGCTTCACCTGGAAGTTCAACGTCGCGCCAGCAGCGACGACGCCGGCCCCGACGCCATCGCCGACTCCCGCACCGACGACGACCGTGCCAGCGACAACGACCCCAGCTCCGACAACCGCCGAAACGACGCCGGCACCGACCAACTCTACAACCGAGCACAACACTACAACGCCCGCACCCACGTCGGGCAACGCCACCTTGGAGAGCGTCATTGATGTGACGATTCCAGCCACGTTGCCCGTGCTCGATGATTCCGTTGCCGCTACGGGTGCTGCGCCAGCCACGACGGCGCCGATTGCCAACATCCAAGAAGTGTCGACATCGTCGAGCGATTCGGCCGACAACGTGACGTTGCCCGTGGTGACGAGCCTGGTCTGCGCCGTCGGCGTCGCTGCAGTTGCGCTCGTCGTCATTCGCAACCGCCGCAAGCTCGAAGAAGACAAGGACGTCGACTTTTACGCCGATGGTCACCGCGACACGGCAGACGGTCGATCCATGTGGCAGCGCGATAGCGTTGCCGTGCTTTAAGCCTCCTACGCCGGCAGGGAACATCGACATTTGTGTGGTGTAGAAAACCACATTCAACGTCGTTTTTTTGTTTTGTTTTGTGGGCGATGTCCAATGCAACCATCATAGTGATGTGCTGCCTTATCCTGGCATAATGGTTCTCCCACATGTGCTGAAGCAGCGTGCAGTACTGCCGTTGTGGCTCTAAAGAACCACGGTTTGGCGCCAAAATCCTGCTCGCAACCCTAATCGCGATCTTGTCCTCGGCAAGTTCGCCTCGTTTAGGTGCGGAATTCCAAAACCGCCATGGCCTCGACGATCGCGATCATCGTCAAGGCCACCGCAGACGCCCGGCAGCAGCTCGACTCGCGGACGAACGGAACGTCCTGCGGAGATGGCTGCACGGCCGTCGGCGACGAGACCACAAGCGTCCCCTGCGCGCTGCGCATGACGGCGATAGGCCCCAACGGTGCGGCGACGGACGAGATTGAGCGCGTACGTCGGGCTCGCGTCGTGGTGGTCATGTCATCTCAGGGTTCGCGCACGTGTAGCTCGATTGGTTCACCTTCTTGAGCGACCTGGACTTGGCGACGAACACGTACACGCTCCAGCTCGTGAACTGCGCGCCGGGCTTCTACGTCCTGTACCCGTTCCAGCTGACGATCCGGCGTGACGCGCACCCGCCCGTCATTGGTACCGCCGCGCCGCAGGTTTGAGCCGAAGCATAAAGCGTATCGTAGGCGAATTTGTCCTCGGCTATGCCAACACGACCCGCGGGAACGCTACGTTCAGCGGCGACAGCCATCGGCTTCCATGGCTAGACTCCATGGTGCTGCCCCTGGATTGGGTCTATCTTGCCATCGTACTGGCCGTATTGGGCGCCGCGTCCATGCTCTGGTTAGTGCTGCAGCGGCAGCGCTACGTGCCGGAAAGCGTCAACGTGACCTCCGCGTCGCACCGCATTGCGCCCGTCGTCAGCGCTGGCGGTGCAAGAAGCAAGTAAGAGGGGCGAGGTCTCATGGTGCAAGATAGGCGCGATAGCACCAACCGATGCATCGAGCGGTACCATCTCCGACGCCCGCCCTTCTTCTAAGGGTGCGTAGACAAGATCAAGATCATTCCGCTCTCGGACACGACGTCGCTCAAAGCACCCATGGGTCTCTGGATGCGCATGGAAGATTTCGGCGCTCATGAGCAAGGCGTAGGCGCACGCATGGGCGATCCTGGGGATGACGACGAGCCTCTTCTCGTTCCCGTCTTTTCGGACCAAGGTGCAACATCCCATGCTGTCGGTTAGGATATAAGGATGGCGTAGATGACGTGGCGTGGCGAGAGTTCTTTGATTTGCACATCTACCGAACAGAAGCGCCCCGATCGACCGAGCTGGATGCGGCGGCAACGTCGGTTCTCACCGAGATCGAACAACGAGTGCAGCGAACGCGGTCATCGGAGCTTGGCGCGGGCTCTGGCCGTTCTCGCCTCGCTGGGCCCGTCAGCGCTGGAGCCGGTGTCGACGCGCAAGACCTTTAACGTAGATGCGCAGTACTACTCGATCTCGCACGTCAACTGAATTCTATCTTACAAAGGCGCCGACTCGGCAGTGAGACAAACGGGCTTTGGTTCCTCTTGGTCGAGAACCTTGATGGACTGGGCCCGGCGGTGCATTAAGTACGCACCAGCTCCAACGAGAATGACGAGAATGACGAGAAGCAACACTAGCAGCGGGGGGCTTGGTGGATCACCCGTTCTCGACGCTGCCAAAGCTGCGGTCGCCACGGTGGCGTTTGCAGCAATCGTCACCGAGGCTGGCTGCGTCGTGGGCGCGTTGCCAACCATGGTCAAGTCGATAAGCACGACCGCGGTCGCTACGCAAGACACGACAAAGATGGCCGTCGACACGCGATGCTGACGCCACTTGGACGTCGTCGCGTGTGTCTGTGGGTCCGCCTTGAGCGGCGTCTCGACGAGCAGCCCCGCGGGCGGGTAGAGGTGCCACGCCAGCTCCATCTTCTCGGGCGCCGATGGTCAAATGCCATCAGCTGATGCGCAACCACCTCCTCGCCCGCGAGTGCCACGATCTCCTGTGGCGAGTTTCTATCCGGATTTCCCGCGACCGATAACCGGACGACGAAATCTTCGATTTGGATACGACGATGGCAAACCAGTTGGACGCAGCGCCGAGCGCCGAGACCGCGGAGAAGGCCCAGCTCGCGCTGGAATGCGTGGACATGCTCGTGGCGCATGGGTACCCTCGCGCGTCCGTGGCCGAGATCCCGATCTACGAGCGCGTCGTGGGCGGCCTCGTCTTCTGCCTCCAGTCGGAGGAACTGACGAGCGTCGACTGCGACATCCTCTTCCGTCCCGTTGGGAGCGTCAAGGAACGCGTTCGCGTCGCAGAGGCCATCTGCGACAGCTTCAACACCGCGTTGCAGTCGTACACACAAACTACAAACTCTAAGACGACGCTCAACTTGAGCGTTCACGAGCTGCAAGGGGCCAACTACGAGAAGCTACGCCAAGTCGTCGCGTGGCTCGTCCAGCACACACAGCTCAAGCTCAACACGCGCGTTGCGAGCGCGATTGAGGCCCAATGGCGCACGGTCTCTGCACCATCGCCCAGCGCTCGTCCGCGGG